TAATTGTCTCTACTTCCTGGGCCACCATTCCTTCTGCCCTGACTCAGTGAATGACCATGGGGCATGACTTAGGTCATTTTTCCATGAGACTAGTGATTACCAAAACTCAGCATACTGGCTAAGACGCATGTTATAAAGGATTTTACTTTAGCCTCAATTTCCTCCACATAGGAAAGGCTTAGAATTTAGGAAAAGAAGGGTCACTTTGACCCAGAGATATCAAATTCTTCCTATTCTTGGGCATCTACGAAGACCCATTCTCATGCCATAAACCATGGGCCTTTCTGGATTGATAAGGAAGCAGGTTGGTCCTGCCCATCATCAGGTCTCAGATACTGTTCCCATCTTGATTGAAGACCTTAACACTGCCCCCACACCACCCCCAGTGCATGAATCAATATAAAGAAACTATAAGCTTTCTTTTTTGAACAATGAAGTCTTCTTCCAACGAAACTCAGCATCTGCTGTGAGTTTCCAGAGGACATCGTAAGCAAAGATCCAATCCCAGTGGTTCTTCCAGTTTTGAAATGGGAATCATGGTTTCTGTGTGCCCTACCCAGTCTCTTGCCCAAGTGAGAGAAGATAAATACAGAAGTGCCCTGAGTTTTTCAGAGCACAATTAAAGCCAAGGCTCAGCTGGGCGCAGTGGCTCGCGCCTGTAATCCCAGCACTTTGGGAGGCTGAAGCAGGTAGATCACCTGAGGTCAGTAGTTCAAGACCAGCCTGGTCAACATGAAACCCCGTCTCTACTAAAAATACAAAAACTAGCCAGGCATGGTGGCGCGCTCCTGTAATCTCAGGTACTCGGGAGGCTGAGGCCAGGAGAATCATTTGAACCTGGGAGGTGGAGGCTGCAGTGACACGAGATCATGCCACTGCACTCCAGCTTGGGTGATGGAGTGAGACTCTCAAAACAAAACAAAAAAATGAAAACAAAACAAACCCAAAGCTCATTATTATTATTCCTAAGTGCTGGATTCAATACTCAGTTAAATATTTATCAAAAAAGTTCACGTGATTCCTCTTTTTACTTCCTCATTAATTTTTCCCCTCCCCTCCAACCTTTGCATGTTGTGGGTCTGGGCAGGACTTCTCCCATGAGAGAGAGATTCTCCTCAAAGTTGCAACCAAGCCCCATATGGCTGTGTGCAACTTTATGTACTCACCCAAATCCAATTGAATTCCTCATTGCTTCACAAATAAAAGGTCAATCTACTTTTAAATGACTATGAACTTTTAAACTCTTAAGCTGTTTCTTGTTAATATTTGAGCTGTACTATTTATCTTACTTAAACAGCTTATGAACTTTTTAATCTCATATTTGATAAACTTGAACCTCTCATGTCCTCCTTTAACATATTAGAATTGGCCGGGCGCGGTGGCTCAAGCCTGTAATCCCAGCACTTTGGGAGGCCGAGACGGGCGGATCACGAGGTCAGGAGATCGAGACCATCCTGGCTAACACAATGAAACCCCGTCTCTACTAAAAATACAAAAAAATTAGCCGGGCGAGGTGGCGGGCGCCTGTAGTCCCAGCTACTCGGGAGGCTGAGGCAGGAGAATGGCGTAAACCCGGGAGGCGGAGCTTGCAGTGAGCCGAGATAGCGCCACTGCACTCCAGCCTGGGCGACAGAGCGAGACTCCGTCTCAAAAAAAAAAAAAAAAAAAAATATTAGAATTTTTGGAATAGCTATTACTAAACAAAATGTTTGTGATACTGAATATACTTTTTCAGTCCACACTTGCTCCACTTACCCAAAGATTCTGATATGATCCCCTGGGGTAGGCCAAACCACTGTAATTGATAAAAGGAATTTTTATTATTTTAAATATTTCTAAGATGAATTCTCAGCGAGGTGTTGTCTTGTGACATGTCACTTTTCAAATGTCTGAGGACATTGCTCACTTTGTAATTCTCACCTACTTTGTGATGCATCTTTGCAGAGTGAGTCGGACCTTTCACGATTCATGTGTTTAGCAGTCAGAATGTGAAAGAACATTTGTAAATGCTAAACTCAGGTTTCATTCCTTTTCTTTTGATGAATGTCTGTTCACCTTTCAAGAGTCATGGCAGGCCACGTCATGGACCAGAGAGCTCCCCTGTGAACAGCCTCCATTCATTCGTACGTGGGGATTGAGCATGCAACAGGTTGCTGCTCAATTGCTGATTGTTTGTAACTACAGCTTTTTTTTTTTTTTTTTGGAGGTGGAGTCTTGCTCTGTCACCCAGGCTACAGTGCAGTGGCGCGATCTCAATCTCGGCTCACTGCAAGCTCCGCCTCCCGGGTTCACACCATTCTCCTGCCTCAGCCTCCCGAGTAGCTGGGACTACAGGCATCCGCCACCATGCCCGGCTAATTTTTTTGTATTTTTAGTAGAGACGGGGTTTCACCATGTTAGCCAGGATGGTCTTGATCTCCTGACCTTGTGATCTGCCCGCCTCGGCCTCCCAAAGTGCTGGGATTACAGGCTTGAGTCACTGCGTCCGGCTACAGCTTCTTTCTTATATTTTTGTTCCATTATTGGAAGGCAACTTCAATGAACAAACATCTTCCAAATCTTCTGAATTTTTTTCCTGCTTGTTAAATACTATTTTGTAGAGTTTCAATTACTAGTTCAAATCCAAACCTCAAAAAATAGATATGTATTAGAGAAGGAATGGAGAAACATTTACTCATTAAGAATATCAACACATGAAAGCGATTTCAGAGTACGGAGTCTTCAGTCAAAAACAAAGGAGCCTTCCAGCCCTTTCAGGAAGCTTCCTTTTGTGCTTCAGTTTTTGAATTTGACTGAAGGAAGGTGGCAGTGATCGCTTGAGCCCCTAATGAATTCTCCTCAGTAAAATACTAGCGAGGAAGAATCAATCCCAGCAGCAGGGTGATCTGCGACCAGTCTTCAGATGCTAATTCCCACTTGGCCCTACTCTTCTTCTTTAGAACATTTTTTTTTTTTTTTGAGACGGAGTCTCGCTCTGTCGCCCAGGCTGGAGTGCAGTGGCGCTATCTCGGCTCACTGCAAGCTCCGCCTCCCGGGTTTACGCCATTCTCCTGCCTCAGCCTCCCGAGTAGCTGGGACTACAGGCGCCCGCCACCTCGCCCGGCTAATTTTTTTGTATTTTTAGTAGAGACGGGGTTTCATTGTGTTAGCCAGGATGGTCTCGATCTCCTGACCTCGTGATCCGCCCGTCTCGGCCTCCCAAAGTGCTGGGATTACAGGCTTGAGCCACCGCGCCCGGCCTTTAGAACATTTTTCATGCAAAATATAATTTAATGCATTTCAGATTCCCCCTCCTACCTAAATAGGGCCATAGAATAATAATTATCTTTCTTATGGGTTTTGGTCCCTAACTTAGTAGCAAGGACTTATGAGCTGGTTTACCCCAAAGCTTTGTGCCAAAAATACTAATTTTTAAAAAGACCACATTGCATCTGATAAAGGGCTATATAGTTGTGTGAAAAACACAATTAGAGCTATCTATCAGTCAGAAAATGTTTCATAGGCCACTGAGGTAGTAATTCATACACTGGAGTAGTTGTTTGGTGGTTGATAGGTGCCACTGGTACATTGTTGTTAACCCAATAGGCCAGAAACAATTCTTGTTCATTTCTTTTCTGAGCTGTCTGTATCTGATGTTCACATATAACACCAAACCACGTGGTTTTTGTTTGTTTGTTCGTTTTTCAGAGTGTCAATCCATATCTACAAGGACAGAGACTGGATAATGTTGTGGCAAAGAAGTCTGTCCCCCATTTTTCAGATGAGGATAAGGACCCAGAGTAAAGAGAAGATGCTGGATGAAAACCCACATTACCTATTAGGCCTCAGCATGGCTTATGTGCACGTGTTAATGGAGCCCCTGTGAATGACAGCATGTTTCTTACATAGATAATTATGGATACAAAGAAGTTGTATGTTGATAGTGTATTGTCTTCACACCGATGACTCTGCTTTCTGCTAAATTAGAATAAGAGCTTTTTTGTTTTTTGGGTTTTTAAAATGTGGATCTGCAATGATCATAAAAAAATTAAAATGTAAATGTCAACAATAAAAAGCAAGACTATGAAAGGCTCAGATTTCTTGCAGTTTAAAATGGTGTCTGAGGTCATACTATGTTGGCCAAGTCTGTAAAAAGCTGGCATTCGATTTTGATTATGAAGTTCATCCAGCCCTTGGGCATTGTTATACACCAATAAAGAAGGCTGTACTCAAGAGGAGGAGCTGACACATTTCACTTGGCTGCGTCTTAATAAACATGTATGCAAGCATTGGCATATGAAGTTTTCTTTTTAAAGCATGATAAAGAACAATTTCTTTGTGTAATGGAACAGCCTGATCTACATACATGATAGCATATGACCCTAACAATAATACTGTGAACTTAATGGATCTGGTGTTATCCCCATTTTACAGATGGCAGAACTGAGATGCATTCAACACACCATTGGGAATCATCGGCAAAATCCAGCTTGAAGAGACGCTACAGGATAAGTAGCCTAGCTTTTTCCAACAAATAAATGGGAGGAGGGAAAAGTGCTGGGGTACTGTCATAGATTTTAAAAGGCTTAAGAGACATGAGCCAAATACAATGTGTGTGGGTCTTATGTGCATCCTGACTCAAATCAAATCAAGAAAAGTATTGATCAGACAATCAGGGAAGTTTGAGTAGTGACTGAATATTTTGGTATGATTTAAATGTTACATAGTATTTATATTATGGCTATTTTTTTAAAAGAGCCCTTATCTCTTAGGGATAAATACTGAATTATTATTATTATTATTATTATTATTATTATTATTTTATTTTTATTTTTTGAGATGGAGTCTTGCTCTGTTGCCCAGGCTGGAGTGCAGTGGCACGATCTCAGCTCACTGCAAGCTCCGCCTCCCAGGTTCACACCATTCTCCCGCCTCAACCTCCAGAGTAGCTGGGATTACAGGCGCCTGCCACCATGCCCGGCTAATTTTTTATGTATTTTTAGTAAAGACAGGGTTTCACCGTTTTAGCCAGGATGGTCTCGATCTCCTGACCTTGTGATTCGCCCACCTCAGCCTCCCAAAGTGTTGGGATTACAGGCGTGAGCCACTGCGCCCGGCAATATTGAATTATTTACAGATGAAATGATATGATGTCTTGGATTTGCTTTAAATTAATCCAGTGGTAGTGATGAGGTAGAGGGTCGGGAGGGAATGGGGATATAGATAATCAAGATAATCAAGACTGGCCATACACTGATAACTGCTGAAGCTAGGTCAAGGGTACTTGGGAGTTAATTGTCCTTCTTATTTCTTATTTCTTTTTTTTCTTTTTTTTTTTTTTTGGAGACAGAGTCTTGCTGTGTCACCCAGGCTGGAGTGCAGTGGCGTGATCTCAGCTTACCGCAACCTCCACCTCCCAGGTTCAAGCGATTCTCCTGCCTCAGCCTCCGGAGTAGCTGGGATTACAGGTACCCACCATCATGCCCTGCTAATTTTTGTATTTTTAGTAGCGACTTGGTGTCATCATCTTGGCCAGGATGCTCTCAAACGATCCTGATCTCAAGTGATCCACCCACCTCGGCCTCCCAAAGTGCTGGGATTACAGGCATGAGCCCCCACACCCGGCTTGCACTTCTTATTTCTGTGTTTGTATGTATTCGAAAATTTCAACAATAGAACCACAGTTGATGGTTAAAAAGTAAGAGTAGATCATGGTAAAAACTGGCCTGGAATCTGGGTGTGGTGCCTCATGCCTGTAATCCCAGGACTTTGGGAGGCTGAGGCAGGCGGATCACCTGAGGTTGAGAGTTCGAGACCCGCCTGACCAATATGGAGAAACCCTGTCTCCACTAAAAATGCAAAATTAGTCAGGTGTGGTGGCATATGCCTGTAATCCCAGCTACTTCTCTCTCATGACCCCTTTTTGTCTTCCTATGGGACCTCACGCCTCCTTTCATATAGTCCCTGTAAGAGGGTGTAATGATAAGAATTACTCTATATACAGAGCCTGCTCTACCACCTGTTAAAAGAGAAACCTTAGACAAATTAAATTGAACAGACTTTAGTTGAGCAAAGAGCAATTTGGAAAATAGGTTCAGAGAGACTCTGCACTGCCGTGTGGTTGAAAAAACCCGATGGACAGAAAAAGAAAAGTAAGGTATACAAAACAAAAGTGAGAGACAGAAACAGCTGGATTGGTTACATTTCAGCGTTTGCCTTATCTGAACATGATTTGAACAGTTGGCCACCTTTGGCCGAATCTCAGTGTTTGGCATAAGAGTAGGTTACAGCCTGTTTACACATCCAGTTAGGTTACAGTTTGCTATGTACAGAGAAAACTTTAGGCCGAGCTTACACTATGTAAGGAGGCAGCTTTGGGCTAAACTTAATTTAGCATACCCAATACTTGTTTACTTATTATGTGTATGCCTCATTCAACTGGGTTATAAGCTCCTTGAAGCCATAGGCTCTGTCTCATTTTTCTTTTTATCTTGATATCTTGTACGCAGCCTAACAAAGGCAATAATAACTGCTGAATGAATGAGTATGATGGAATTTTTTTTTTTTTTTTTTTTTGAGACGGAGTCTCGCTCTGTCACCCAGGCTGGAGTGCAGTGGTGCGATCTCAGCTCACAGCAAGCTCCGCCTCCCAGGTTCATGCCATTCTCCTGCCTCAGCCTCTTGAGTAGCTGGGACTACAGGTGCCCGCCACCACACCCGGCTTGTTTTTTGTATTTTTTAGTAGAGACGGGGTTTCACCATGTTAGCCAGGATGGTCTCGATCTCCTGACCTTGTGATCCACCCGTCTCGGCCTCCCAAAGTGCTGAGATTACAGGCGTGAGCCACCGTGCCCGGTCAATAGAATGTTTTAAAGAAGTCATAAAAGGTCAATCATCTTAGACTGTGTACAGAGGGAAAGGTGGAATTACCTCACACTTTGGTGGGGTTTACAAATTGATGTGAAGTTGTGTACGTGGTTCTCAAGTCTTTCTTTTTTTTTTTTTTGAGACGGAGTCTCGCTCTGTCTCCCAGGCTGGAGTGCAGTGGTGTGATCTCAGCTCACTGCAAGCTCTGCCTCCCAGGTTCACGTCTTTCTCCTGCCTCAGCCTCTCGAGTAGCTGGGACTACAGGCCCCTGCCACCACGCCCAGCTAGTTTTTCTGTACTTTTAGTAGAGACAGGGTTTCACCATGTTCGGCAGGATGGTCTCGAACTCCTGACCTTGTGATCTGCCCACCTTGGCCTCCCAAAGTGCTGGGATTACAGGCGTGAGCCGCCACACCCGGCCTTCAAGTCTGTCTTAGAATCAGCCAGTAGAACTACCCGCTTCTTTTCTGAGTCACTGCCCAAATGTCGGTAGTTCAGGAAGTGTCAAGGCACAGAGTTCCTGCCAAATATCTCAATTTGCTGCATACCATGACGGTTGTGCATGATTCATTTATTAGGGAGACAGACCAGATGTGTGGGACGGCCCTGCTCAACATCAAGGCAGATCTGTGGGCAGACAGAGCATCGGGTTCTGCTGTGGGTTTTCATTGACCAGTGTTCCTCTGACCATGGCATAGCCACTTGGGCAGTGCAGAAGGCATATCCCAGCCCGTCACTGGTATCATGTGCTGTGGCAACAGTCTTGGGGGTTAGAACAGAGACACCTGGGGAAACACTGGCCACTCAATGGGGAGCAAGCTTGGAGGGTAGGAGAGTCCTAAGATGGGGTCAGGGAGAGATCCAGGCCATCACCTTTCGAAGTGCTCCCGGACATTATTTCCAAAGGCAATTGGCATACCTAGCCAGGAGCATATCTTGAGAAGGTAGTATTTTTTGAAGCCTCCTGAAGCCTGGGTTTTACCAACAGCCTAGGCCTGGCAGGATTCGGGGAGCTTGTACTTCACATACTCAACTTTCTGTTTCTAAAGGGAAAGAGAGACTCTACTAAGACTTTCTGGCCATCAGGCTGCTCTTCCAAAATTGTCTGGTGACTTAACCATAGGTGAATCAGAAACGTGGATCAAATTTCCTGCTAAAATACACATGAATGTGGCAATTCAAAGAAAATGTGTAGAATATAGCAGATTTGGTGGCCAGAAAGCCCTGTGAGAAGGCAAGGGCCACTGAAAATTATCATAACTATATAGTAAAAGAAAACTTGTTCCAAATGGGCACAGAGGAATCCATGGAGAAAGTTGCTAAGACATTTATGGGTGTCACACATTGGCTTCTGAAGTCCATAAATTAAGGCAGGGTGTTTGCAAAGATTCTTGTAGAACCATGTCCTTGAATTTGGGCTTAAAAACTTATTAACTTCTAAGTTGCAAAAGAAAGACTCTTTTAGAAAAGAGATGCTCTAAGATGGGCTGAGTTAGAAAGACCTAACAGCCCATCCTAATAGACTGAATGTTCTATTGTTTGATGAATGTTATGTGCCAGTAGAACTTGTTGATAAGCCGTTCTTCCCAACAAAAACCGTAACTATATACACAGGAAACAAAAATATTTGTAATGGTTTTTAGCCGTGGCAACTGAACACCTGAGGAGTCAGAGCATCTTAATAAAGCCCATTTGAAAACTATAGTCACTTCCTCACAAGGTGGCCATCATATGGTGTCACCTTCCTTGACAGGACTCATCACAATACCATTCATTTATTCATTCAGCAGTAACTTATCAAGGATCTATTCTATGTGCCAAATACTGAGCTATATTCTGGGACTGGGGAGTCTTATCAAAGAGGTATAAGATACAGGCTCTTCCTTCTTGAAGTTTAAAGCACATGTGCAACCATAAATATTCAGCTATTTGTACACTATTATTACACACTTGATCCCATGGCGTCACTGTTTAACAGAGTAGTTAGATACAGACACTTTGTAATTAGATTTGCATTTGACTCTGGGTTCTGTGACTTTCAAATTGTGTGGCCTTGAGCAAACAATTCCATCTCACCAAACCTTAGTTCTTTCACGTAACCAACGGGAAAGATAATACTTACCTTATCATATTGATGTGAAGATAAATTCCCTGCAATACAGCGCCTGTGTTAAACCTCGATTTAGATTCCAAATTCAGAATTCATCAGATTTCAGTGCAAGAAACAAACTCTTTACTCTGGATATGTCCATATGAAAGGGATATAATGCGAGGAATTATGTGCTTACAAAATTATTTAAAGATGTGGAGGAGCATGAGGCAGGGATCCACAGTTGGGCTTAACCAGTTCAAGCTCACCCACATAGCTGGAATCCAGAGGTCAGGAAATAGTGGTTGGTGTCCCTGCCACCACCACATCACTACCACTGATGTGTGACACTCCCAAAGTCATTGTCTTGACCCAAGAATGGTGGGTTTGCCTGCAGCTACCATCTGTCATAGCAGAAGCAGCAGCAGAAAAAGAGATGTTTTTCTTTCTCTTCCAACTTCAGCATCTGTGGGAGTGCATCTATCTGGTGTTCCAGTTTGCTTCCAAAAGCCTGTCTCCTGAGGAGTCAGGTATCAACCACGTCAGGGGTTCCCAGCCCCTGGGCCATGGACCAATACTGGTCTGTGGTCTGTTAGGAACCTGGCCATTCGGGAGGAAGTGGAGGAGGAAGTGAGCCCCGGGCGAGTGAACATTACCACTTGAGCTCCCCCTCCTGTCAGATCAGTGGCAGCATTAGAGTCTTCTAGGAGCGCAGACCCTGTTGTGAACTGTCCGTGTGAAGGATCTAGGTTGTACACTCCTTATGAGAATCTAATGCCTGATATAATCTGAGTTGGAACAGTTGCATCCCAAAACCATATGCCCCTTGCCATCTGTGGAAAAACTGTCTTCCACAAAAATAGTCCCTGGTGCCAAAAACACTGAAGACCACTGATATATATTTTCCATATAGGGATAGCCAAAACCCAGGTAAGCTGAAGCTCTATGAAAATTCAAAGTAGAGCCCAGCTGTCCTGCTCTCAGTTTTACTATCAATTTACTATCTTATAATAGCTCCAAAGGAGAAAGGTGAAAAACTATAGAATTTTAGAGATTATTTTTTCCCACCTTCCTGGCTGATAAAGTAAGAAATAGTGCTTTAAAGAAGATGAATAATCACAGCACAGATGTAAACCAAACTCAAGCTTTATCATTAGGATTGGCATAGGAACCATCCCCATGACATAGACCCCAAACGGACAATGGTATGAATGAAAAAGGTAACAGCGGAGGCTGATCTTTATCATTTTTCACTATGCTTGTTTTTTTTGTCATTGTTGAGTTTTGAGTTGGAATGTGAGTTTATTTATCCTCCACAGCTTTTGGAAGATTTCAGCCTGGCTCATCCTATTTTAGAGTGTCTGACAGGGGAATAATGCATGGTATTTAGATGGTACCAGTTATCCAAGAAGGTCACATTTCTTTGCAATTAGTCTATCATACTCCAGAATACCCTGAGAGAGGTTGGGGTAGGAGAGAGGGAGTTACCTTCATTTAACAGCAGATAGACTTAGGAAGCAGCGGGGGCCAATGAAAAAGCAGGAACGAGAATGGCAAGATGCCCCAACACTATCTCCCTTCCCCCACCAACAACCCAGGGAACTCTTTCCAAATCACTTTCTACATATGCCTTGACTGTTGATTCATCAAAGATGTCTTCAATAGATTCACAACTCAAACCACATTGCAGTATTTAAGTAAAGGGGAGCATTGAAAAATGTGAATGTGGTATTTCTTCTATTTTTGCAAATGGATGTGTTTGATACCAAACCCTGTCAGCAGCTAATACTATTACTGTGTTTGCTAATATGCTCAGATCAACTGGGCACACAACCAAAACCCGTAACATTCCTGAGTCAAGTATGATCAGATGCTCTCAAATGCAGTGTGCCTTCTTCCCTCGCATCATAAGAGAAGAGGCTTTTGTTGGATATGTTTTGTGAACACCAAAGAGAGTAAACAGCTTTTTGAAGAAGCCAAAGTGTTTCCCCCTGATTCATTGTGAATGCCTGCAAGAGCGTTTCCTTTTAAGTTAAAACAATTTACAAATTCTTCCTCCTAAATCAATCTACATATTTTTATCACTGCTATTTTTAATAAGTAACTTTTCTTTCTGAAAATTTATTTCACTTTCCCTCAACCTTTCTGTGATTCTTGGGAGACAAGAAACAGAGTTCATTTAAAACACTCTTGTTTATGATGGATGAAACCACAAACTTTGTGTGATGTTAACCCACTCACAGAAGGAGAATCTGAACTTCAGAGTATTTTGTGTTTGGAGAGAAGGCTCACTAAGGAAAATGGGCTCATTTCAATTCAGTATATTATAGGAAGGAAAAGATCAAGGAAGAGCTGGTCTTAAAACTGTCAAAATATAATAATTCGATGGGAAGAAAGAAGGAAAACAGACCAGTTGGAAATGCAAAGATAAAAGAACTGGATCCAGACATGTCTATGTAATTTCCCAGAAATGGAAATTGTACTGGCAATTTGGAAAGAGATATCGAAAAACAATATACATTAAATGTTGAGCGTTTCTTGCAGCAATGCACTTGGAAGGCTCTTGGAACACATGGCATAATGGTCTTATGATTCATCTACATATGGCCTGATCCTTGGTAACTGACGAAAGGGGAAACCAAGTTTCATAAGGAATCAAACACAGAAGAGGAAGTTAAACACTTTTTTAGGTTAAAAAAAACTCTTTTAAGCTGCTAGGTCATCAGCAGAGGATTAACTAACGCAGCCTACTAAATTTGCAGTGGGATAGATCACATATGTAATTTCCTTTAATTCTTCAATAGCCCTGTGATGTAGGCATCATTTTCTCTGTTTCCTGATAGCCCAAGAGTTGGTGTCTCTAAAGTTGCTTAGGTAGTTGATGGTTGAGCTTAGATGCAAATAGAATTCTTTCCACCACACCTCATATTGTCAAACCTGGCTGCTTATCAGAATTATCTGGAGAGCTTTGTAAAAATACAGATTCTTGGGCCTCAGCCCAGGAAATTCTCATGCATTAGTATAGAGCAAGCTCTGGGGATCAATTTTTTTGTTTTGTTTTGTTTCTCCAGTGACTCTGATACACAGTGAATTTGGGGAAACACTGCACGCAGAAATGGTGTGAGAATGGGTGAAGACAAGAGCCCTGGTGGGAAGGATGTAGAACACAGGAACTCCACTGCTCTATGAGAAGCCTGCTAAACTACACCAGCCATAAATAGTCTTATGAAAATCTACCAGATCTGGAAAACATGCTTCGACTTCACCTGAATTTATTTCTAAGACCCCAGACATTCCTAATCAGCCCATCTCCTCCCAGATGGCTCTGCAAACCACTCCTATCGTTTGGAATTATGTTTTCAGAAGCCTTACAACCATGATAAAATGCTGTTGCCATAAGCATTTTCCTATCTCCTCAAGATGAATTAGATGAGCTACTTAGTCCTTCATCAATAAATTACAAAGGAAGAGGCATTTGGAACTATGGATGCCCTTCAAATGTACTTGGCTAGTTACTTGCCTCCGTTTCCAAAAAGATGAAAACATAAAATGAAGTAAGTGGCAAAATGTGCATCATTCCTGGCCACATACCCAAATAGTCTTTCTCTTATCCAATATGACTTTTTCCTTTGCATGCTTTTTCATCAGGCTAAGAAAACCAAAATATCTTTCTACAACAAATCCTTAAGGTTTCCCAGAAACACAAAGCAACAGTGCATTATTTACTTCTTATGAAATTTTACCATGATATTTTTAGCAGAGTGGGTGTTGCCCTGACACAGGCCATAAAACTTACTCACTTCTTTGGGGTCTGAGGAATGTAATCTTGTGATTGGTTTTACAGGGAGAACTTATTGGGGTGCAGTTGCAGTTCCCAGAGTGAGTCTGTGCCATCATTGCCTCCACTGTTGTTCAGTGGGTGGGGCGCCCAGAGCACAGGAATGTGCTCTCTGATTCTGTGACAAAACTAAGGACTGAGGCTCCCCTACAGGGAATGGATTCAGAGGCTCCTGAGGCTCAGTTCTCCAATGAGTTCTCCAATGAGTTCTCCAATGAGTTCTCCATTGAGTTCTCCAATGAGTTCTCCATTGAGTTCTCCAATGAGTTCTCCAATGAGTTCTCCATTGAGTTCTCCAATGAGTTCTCCATTGAGTTCTCCAGTGAGTTCTCCATTGAGTTCTCCAATGAGTTCCAGGTAAAATGCAGAAACCAGGCAAGGCACAATGGCTCAGGCCTGTAATCCCAGCACTTTGGGAGGCCAAGGTGGGTGGATCGCTTGCCCCCAGGAGTTCAAAACCAATGTGGGCAACATGGTGAGACCCCATCTCTACAAAAAATACAAAAATTAGTGGTTACCTATAGTCCCAGCTACTTGGGAGGCTGAAGTGGGAGGATCACTTGAGCCTGGGAGGTCAGGAGTGCAGTGAGCTGTGATCACACTACTGTACTCCAGCCTGCTGGGTGAGAGTAAGAGCCTGTCTCTAAAAAAAAAGAAGAAGAAGAAGAAGAAGAAGGAGAAATCAGAAACAGGAGCAAGGCAAAAAGGGGGCTACAGCAAGGGTTATAACATGAAGGAAAATGAGAACAGCTGCACTTTTAATCTATGAATTCAACAAAGGTCTGGGAGCATCCATGTACTCCAAGTGCCATGTAGAGGCCGGGGAGTCAGTGAGCCACACAGAGATGGTTCTTGCCACCACAGAGCTTAAGGCACATGGAGGAAACAGACAAAAACCAAGCAAATCTATAAATTGCATAATTTAAAAATTTGGTAAGAACCAGGAAGAAAGGGTATTAGTCAAAGGAAGGACATAGCCTAGTACATGAGTTAAGAAATGTCTAGGCTGGGCGCGGTGGCTCACACCTGTAATCCAGCACTTTGAGAGTCCAAGGCGGGCAGATCACGAGGTCAAGAGATTGAGACCATCCCGGCCCACATGGTGAAATCCCATCCCTATTATTAATACAAAAAAATTAGCTGGGTGTGGTGGTGCATGCCTGTAATCTCAACTACTCGGGAGGCTGAGGCAGGAGAATTGCTTGAACCTGGGAGGTGGAGGTTACAGTGAGTTGAGATCGTGCCACTGCACTCCAGCCTGGTGACAGAGCAAGACTCCATCTAAAAATGAAACAAACAAAACAAAACAAACAACAAACAAAAAAGAAGCGTCCAGTGGCTGTGGGTCAGCATCAGCGAAAGTGGGGAGAGCAGTAAAGAAGCAATTGCAACCTTCTAGGTGAGAAATGACCATGACCTGGACTTGGGAGTGGGCAGTGAAGAGGCAGGATGGACTCAAGACAGCAAGTAGACTGCCACTGGCAGCGACATTTTGGAGAAACTAGCAGTTAGTTCTTCCGACACGGTTCCTACAGGTGATGGGATAAAAATAGAAGACAGCAGTGGAAATGATGAGGAGACCTGGAACATTTTAGTTACGATTCAACTCAGCCTCTGCTAGGGCCACAGGGACTCAAAGAAGAGAAGGAGACACTTCCTCCATGCAAGGAGTCTACGTTTCATTGAAGAAGATGCATCCAGCATACATGTAACGATAATAAAGGAAAAATATGACAAGAATAATAGAAAAGGCAGAACGCTCTGAGAAGGAGGCTTGAAGTCAGAGTATGAATTCAACCAGAAGACAGAAGGGTGGGGAATTCCGAGGGGAGGGAGGAGCAAGAGCAAAGGCGTGAACGTGGTGACCTGTGGTATGTGCTCAGCTCCTGCTGGGCTCAAGTGTTGCATATGCAGAGAGAACATTAGCTGGAGACCATCAGGCTGGCATTGAACACCAGGGGCAGGAGTGGATGCTTACTGCTCAACTGCACACTCCTCTCTTGTTCTCTGCTACATTTGTGCAATTGAACGTCTGTATTATACGTGTGTATTAAAAGCAAACTCTCACTTTGAAATTTTCCTTCTTAGTGGCAAGATTCTTTTCTCTAGATTGACAGTGCAGAGCTCACATAGTAATAACTGCTGTTAGAATAGATATTTAGGACTACAGAGCTAAAGCTTAAATACCATTTAAGGGAAGCTGCTGTTATCTGAAATAATTTGTCTTTCTTATTTAAAAGAACCAGTACCCTCCCTCCCTCCTTTCCTCCTTCCCTCCCTTCCTTTCCTCTTTTCTTTCTTCCTTCCTTGGAAGAGTAGAAACATAACGAGGGGTTCTGGCTAGTGTCCTGAGGTGTTGGCTAGGTAAACTTTTTAGAGTTGCTTGTGCCAAGAGACCAGCACATACATTTCTCCAGGGGAAGTACATCCTAATGATTCCACAGACATCCATGGATTGCTCTGGCTAGCAGAGTAGTGCTGCAAAAATCATTATGATTTTTCTTTTTTTCCAGAAAGTTATTCTTCTTTGGCTTAATGTCCACATGACAAAGAATCACGCTTTACAGTCTTTAAGGGCCTATCCCATGCTCAGCCACCTTTCTACAAAATCGTGGCGACGTGGGCAGGCAGACACGTGCACTTGGGAGATCCTGAGATCCTGTCTGCTCAGGCTGATGCAGTGACCAGAGTCACCAGAAAACCTCTGCTCCATCTGGGAGACCCAAGGGAGATCATCTGGAAGCTGGTATCTGGGGACACACTGCTACGTTGTCCAGTCCAAAGTCCATCAGCTTTGTTTTCTTTCTCTGTCACTCCAACAAGTAAAACAGAGTGTAGAAACAAACACTGCAGGCAAGGTTACCTAGTCTCCTTGGAAATGTTTCCTTCCTACTGGCTAACTTTCAACCTAAGGGAAAAGGCAGCTCGATGCTCAACTTGAAGATTTTCTTTCACATTCTATTATACATGTGCATATAAAGGAGTTTCTCTTACTATTGGTTTCTTCCTTCTCTGATCCTCTCTCCAAAGGCACCACATTTCTCCAGAGTGTCCCAAATGCCTCATGTCTACGGAGTACTTTGCAAACATTAATAGACAAATGGTTAGTTTATATAAAGCACACATGTATTGCTCTGACATAAGCAGTGAGGAGCCCACAGTTTACATTTTTCATCTTTCTTTTAAAAAAGAACGACAAATCATATTCCAGATGATCCAACCTTTTACGCTACGAAGGGAAGAGTGAAGGAACCAAGATTGAAAAGAGATTTAAATTTGGACTGTTTGTGAGCCAAGTGCAAATTGGTGTACAAGTTCACATTGATCTTTAGAAGGGAAAGCAGGTATTGAATTTGCTTTCCACCTTTAGCTCCATCCTTCTTTACCTTGAGAAGAAGCCCAAAACACTGAACTTAATTTTAAGCTCCTAATTTTAAAGGTAGACTGATACGCTCACGCTCGTGGTTCCGGCACTTTGGGTGGTCGAGGCAAGCGGATCACTTGAGGTCAGGAGTTCAAGACCAGCCACGGTCAACATGGCAAAACCTCATCTCTACTAAAAATACAAAAATAAAATAAAAAATTAGCGGGGCGTGGTGGCAGGTGCCTGTAATCCCAGCTACTCAGGAGGCTGAGGCAGGAGAATCGCTTGAACCAGTGCAGCAGAGGTTGCAGTGAGCTGAGATTGCGCCAATGAACTCCAGCCTGGGTGACACAGTGAGGCTCCCTCTCAAAAAAGAAAAAAAAATATATATATATATATATATATATGTATATATATATAGATAGAGAGAGAGAAAGACAGATACAGTCATTAATAACGGTTCTAATGGCAATAAGTCAGGCTTGGGTTTTTGTAGGAAACTTCAAGACAGGGCATATGGGTTTTCTTTTTTTCTTTTCTTTTTTTTTTTGTTTTGAGATGGAGTTTTGTTCTTTTGCCCAGGCTGGAGTGCAGTGGTGTGATCTCAGCTCACTGCAACCTCCGCCTCCCAGGTTCACGCCATTCTCCTGCCTCAGCCTCCGGAGTAGTTGGGACTACAGGCGCCCGCCACCACGCCCAGCTAATTTTTTGTATTTTTAGTAGAGACGGGATTTCACCATGTTAGCCAGGAGGGTCTCCTGACCTGTGATTGCACTTGCCTCCCATAAGTAGCCTGATGTTAGCCAGAGGTCTCGACTCGACCTTGTGATCTGCCCACCTTGGCCTCCCAAAGTGCTGGGATTACAGGCTGAGCCACCGCGCCCGGCAGCATATGGGTTTTCGATGGCCATGTGTTCAGCATTCTTTATAAGTAAACTCATGTGATATCTAAACCCATATTCCTCATACATGTGTTCGTATTTTACACAACCAAATGTTTGACAATACCAGCTATCAAATTATTTAAGACATTTGACACTTAGGAATACTTTTCTTTGGTGAAAAAACAGTGGTATTTGAATACCAGTTCTAAGAGTGTATGGTGTAGACTCTTGTTCCCGGTATAGAGGGTAGAAGCTCAGTGTGTGGGGCATGGGGGTCAGCAGCTGTGAATTCTTCCTCTGCTTCATACAGCTGTGTGCCCTTGAGACAGTCACACCACCTCTCTAGACATCAGCTTCCTCATCTTTAAAACAGAACAAACAATAGTAGCAATTTCATACAAGTGTTATGATCATTAAATTAGATAATGCACATAAAGCCTTGTGTTTGGTACACATCAGGTAATGAATAAAAGGCCACTTTAAGAAATGCATGTATACACACATACACACATTGTTACTCTTACAAGAGAAAATAAAATGTTATAGTATGTTATAGTACGTTATTCACACAAGAGAATATTCTACTACTGTTAAACTGATATTTTTGAAAACTTTTAATAATGTCCCCCAAAATAATTAAAATATTAGGTTAAATTTAAAAGTTAAATAAGGCATCTTATTATATAGAGCATCTTCTCTCTCTCTCTTTCTCTCATATACACACGCACACGCACACACACCATACACATACACTATATAATTAGAAGGAAATCCATATATGTACATATATGTAGTGTGTGTGAGCAAACAGTGGTTATTTGGGGATTGTGAGATTACGGCATATTTTTATTTTCTTTATATTTTTCTCTAGTTCCAAGTTTTCTGTGATGAGTTTGTAATATTTTTACAATAACTTTATGTTATAAAATATTTTATTTTATTTATTTTTTGAGACAGTCTCGCTCTGTCACCCAGGCTGGAGCACAGTAGCGTGATCTCTGGGTTCATGCCATTCTCCTGCCTCAGCCTCCCGAGTAGCTGGGACTACAGGCGCCTGCCACTGCGCCCGGCTAATTTTTTGTATTTTTAGTAGAGATGGGATTTCACTGTGTTAGCCAGGATGGTCTTGATATCCTGACCTTGTGATCCGCCCAACTCGGCTTCCCAAAGTACTGGGATTACAGGCGTTAGCCACCGTGCCCAGCCTATAAAATATTTTATAAGATGTAATGAACCAGTCCAAGTGACATATTAGGAGAGCTGCAGCAAGAGTAAAATCACACCTATACTTACATGCCTTTAAAAAAGGACACAAGACTGAAAAGGTGGATCCTAAAATGACTTCTAGTAAATAGCAGAGTCATCAAGGAAACAAAGACTGGGAATGGACTAAGTAAGCCAAAAGTTAAAAAAAAAAAAAAAAAAAAAAAAAAGTGAGGAGCAGGATAGCCAGAGACAGTGGGGTAAAACCTTGCAACCTTCAGTTTAACAGATACTTTCAACAGATCCTCCCCAATGAACTAGCATTTTAAAACTGCGGTAAAATGAGTTTTTTTCGAAGAGAACTCCTCCACCAAAAAAAAAAAAAAAAATTAGAAAATGAAGAACACAAGCTATAAGGGAAAACAAAATTATTAATAAAGTCCCATCACATCTTTTTCCCAAGAGTGAGGTCACATCAAAGAGCTCAAAACAAATACATGGTTTAAACCTTTCGAACGTAACAAGTTATCCTGTCTGCAGACAAAGAAACGAGCCTCCTTTCAGATAGACTCTGTTACATTTAAGCACTGGGTATGTGAATATTTGCTGAGAAATACATTGGTGTCTCTGGCTTCCTGTCTTGTTTCGCTCCCCAGTCTCTTGGATGGGAGTTTCAGCCTGTCTAACTACACACTTGGGCATCTTCTGGTCTCTTATTCTTAGCTTCTATTACTGCAGTGGAACCATCCTGAGAAGGGTAACTTTAGGTTAGCGTGATTCTTTTTTTTTTTTTTTTTTTGAGACGGAGTCTCGCTCTGTCACCCAGGCTGGAGTGCAGTGGCGTGATCTCGGCTCACTGCAAGCTCCGCCTCCCGGGTTCACGCCATTCTCCCGCCTCAGCCTCCCAAGTAGCTGAGACTACAGGCGCCCGCCACCTCGCCCGGCTAATTTTTTGTATTTTTAGTAGAGACGGGGTTTCACCATGTTAGCCAGGATAGTCTCGATCTCCTGACCTCGTGATCCACCCGCCTCGGCCTCCCAAAGTGCTGGGATTACAGGCTTGAGCCACCGCGCCCGGCCACAGGTTAGCGTGATTCTTGCAGTGCAAGCAAAAAAGAGCCAGAAGTGTTTGGTAAAACTATTTACTGGTTTTACACACACACACACACACACACACACACACACAAAGTTTCTGTGCCATTTACTGAAAGGTATCACTTTCTTTCCTGTCTTCCTCCTTCCCTCTCTCTCCCTTCTTTCCTTCCTTCCTCCCTCCATTCTCTCTCTTTATCTTTTCCTCTATCTCCTTCTTTTCCCCTTATTTTCTTCCCCTCCCTTCCTTCTTTCTCCCTATGCAAGTACTCATTTCATAGCTTTGTCAAGCATTTGCTGTGTGCCACCCCTGCATTACCCAGAGTGAATATAAAGACACATAAGACCCAACACACGCTGATATTAGACGTACTGTTTTTTTTTTTTGTGTTAGCTCCCAGTTGAACTCTGGTATCCATGCAGACACTGATGTTTATTAGGTGCCTGGCACTTTCACAGAGCTTGTTTTACTTAATTCCAGCATCTACCCAGAGGTGGGTGTTATCACCATTCCTGTAATACAGATGGTTGAATTTCAGCCCAGAGGCTTTAAATACTTAATTGAGACATTCAGCTTCTAAGGGGAAGTATCAGGAATTTACTCTGACTTTCCTGACTCTGAGTTCAGTGCTTTTTCCCACTGTGCCAGAACTATTGACTATGAAGGATTATGTTCATAGTTTGAAACTTTCACCTTTTGCATATTGCACTGCACGTGGAGTATACACAATAAATATGTGCATGAAATAGGGCATGAATTGTATTATAATGGTCCTGAATAACTCATTTCATATACCTGTATTTGGCAACATTGTCCAGAATTTTCATATGCACGTGCATTTTTCATACACAGGAAACTGGTTAGGCATAGATAGCAAGGTGGATAGCCAGGAGTCAGCCTTCAGACAGGTCAGTAGACATACACACTTACATAAGGGTTTGTTTGCATTCTGAAAACATGCCTACTCAGATTGGAGCTGGTTACAAAGGACACACGGGAAGCAAAAATGTTCAGTTTCCAAATGATGATCAAAGTCACTCTTGAAATCATAATAGAAACATCACATTTGTTTTAACTTTGAGGGTTTAAAAACTTATCAACATGGAGACGGAATTATCTAACAAACACATCCACGTACCCATCACCCAGAAATTCAGATTGTCCACATTTTGTCATATTTCTTTCAAGATTTTTGTTAAAGAAATAAAATGTTTAAATGTTTTGTAATGTTGAAATTTCTTTTGTTGTCCATGCCTGATCCACCTCCTCCCCTCCTCATTCTGGTAAAGATCATTAGAGGTCTAGGTTCCAATCCGCTATTTATACATGCACATGACCACATGTTTCACAAGCAACTTATGCTATTTTTATATGTTTACTACAAAATACACATAATGGTATCATGCTACTTATATCATTCTGCAGCTTCCTTTTTTTTTTTTTTTTTTTT